GCTGGTTCCTGACCAGGTCCTAGTCCCACACCCAACTCTGGCCCATGAAAAGGAGCCCAGGATTTGGACGGCTGGAGGGAGGGGCTGATGGCCAGGGCAGTGGGCCGCCATGGGAAGCCAGAAGTGGTCTGCTCCCCATCAGACCTCCTCCTTCTGGATTCAGGCTGGCTGGGGGCTGAGCAGCAGGCAGTGTGGCCGGCTCTGTCACCCCCCTGCCCCACCTACTCTCCCTCAGTGCTCTTCTCAATGGGGCCTAAGCAGAAGGCCTGGGATCTGGGTGAACCAGGGCTGGGTCTCAGAACTGAGGTGGGGACTAGGGCCTGTTTACCCCTACCACAATCCCCATGACAGGTGGGATCTGGGAACCTGGACTGAGCAGGATGTGGAAGAGGGCTCCAACCCCCCACGACAGCCCAGGGCCTTAGTAAAGACCTCCCGTGTGTCTCCATTCCTCAAGCTGTGGTTTCAGGAGCTATCAGGGGATCTTTCTCTGGTGCCAGCTGGGCTGTGGGAGATGAAAACCTGGGAGGCAGGAAGGGCCAGGGGCACATTTCTGGCCCGAAGTGGTGAGAGTAGGTAGGGCAGTGGCATGAAAAACTACACTAAATCTCTAGCTTTGGGTCCTTCTGCCTTCTTCCTTTGATCTGCCTTTCTGGGGGAATGGGAGGTGCCAAGAGAAGGGGCCTGAGGTGGCTAATCCCCCAGTTGCCGCCCGCTGATCAGGTCCTGTGTCGGGCCATGCCTTCCACCAGCTGTTACCAAACTCTCTTTGTCTGGAGTGGGAGCCAGGGCCTCTGTGGCAGGAGGGAACCAGGACATGCTGAGTCTTAATCCAGACACGTGGCTTAATCCAGAAGAGATCATCTAGAGGTTTGGGAGCTGGAGGCATTGCTCAGGAGACCACAGCCCCCAGGGCGTGTCAGCAGAGGTTGCAGGGAGGACAAGGCCTGCCATCTGAGAGACCCGGACATGGAAGACACTCGGCATGTCCCAGGACCCTAGGCTTATGGAGCAGTGGCCAAGGTGCCAGGAAGCCTCTGGTTGGACCCTGGCTCTGCTGTGTGACTGTGGGCACTTGCTCGCTTCAGCTTTGCCACAGTGCACATGTGTCCCCATGGGTGGATGATCACCCATGGATTTAATCATGGGCTGAATTGTAAGGCATCAGATGGGGAGGGCTGGGGAAGTCAGAGGAGGGAGTTGTTGGGAAGGGCTCCCTGGGGGAGGAGGACTTTGGGCTGAACTGTGATGAGAAAGAAGGGGCATCTTGGGAAAACAGCACGAGAGCAAATAGACATATTGTGCCCACAGCACAGGGGCTTGGCAAGAAATACCTTCTCCTTAGAGCCTGGATGTGTAGTCACCACGTCAATCCCTGGTTGTGGTCCAGACCTTGCCCTTAACCAGAGCATGAATCTCTTCCCCATTCTGGGCTTCGTTTTTCCCACCTATAAAACAATCACATAATATATGGTCCCTTCCAGCTCTGATTATATGGGCTGGGTAGGAGGTGGGCTCAGAGGTGGGCACCAGCCAGGAGGATGGGACAGAGCAGGCAATAGAGAGCCATGGGAGGTTCTTGAACATAGGGGTGTTTGATGAAAGGGTTTTGGGGGAAATGAGCTTGACAGTGGGTGGAGTGAGCAGCCAGGAGGTGGAGATGAACTTTGGAAGATCAAAGAGCCCAATCATGAAGTAGGCAGAACCCCTGGGACAATGGGACTAGCCAGAGCATGAGCCTCGGAGGGAATGTGGTCCGATGAGCAGGGCCATGCATGGACAGATAGGACTTTGGGCAAGCTGCTTAACCTCCCTGAGCCTCACCATCTGCATCTATGAAATGGGGCTATGGGGCTGGCGAGTCCATGTCACCCAAGCTGTGGGTAGTAAAGGGGGTAAAGGGTAGTAAAGGACATGGCACATGGGAGGTGCTCACTGCACAGTCCCTCTTCTTTCCTCCCGAGCGCAGCCTGGAGCCTGGAGTAGATGCCAGTGCTGCAGGCTGGGCACACCAGCCCCTGGCTCTCTGACTAGTGAGCCAAAGTCCCCTGTCCCAGACCTGGGCTGCCTGGGGGACAGAGCACTCCCCACCAACCCCCACCTGCAGACAGTCGAATCTTTCCTCCTGCTGCACAGTTAATCATTAACTTATTTTCCACTAGGGAAGTGTTGGAATGGGGACCAAGGCTTGGTGGAGAGCAGGTTCCTTGGCATTTAGGAGCAGTGTGACGGGAAGCAGGCATGTGGGGTGTGGAGGGAGGTGGAATTCTCTGCTGATGAAGGAGCCGTGGGCCGAGAGTCAGAAGACCTGCATTCGAGTCATTTACCTCTCTGCACCTTGACTTCCCCCATCAGCAAAATAGGGATGAGCTGTCTCTCTCCTGGGTAGGGGACAGGTGCAAGGGCTTTGCAGCTCCCTTGACAAATGTGTCAAGGGTGTGTCATTATATTCCGCCCTGGCAAATGCTGCTGCTTGCCCTCCCTATTCATCCCCACCGGCCCCTCACACAACTCTGCCCATCGTACCTGTGGCTAAGGCCAAGCAAACAGGAGGGCCACTAGGGAAGCAAGTTCTCCTGCTTCTTGGAAAAGCTTCTGACTCCCTGGCATGTGGCCCAGGGTATTGGCAGAGACTGTCTTAACGTGGCAGCCATGGAGGTTCTGGGGACGTGGATGGGGCGGGAGGCAGGCAGAGGGTGAAGGAGGAGGGGTGCGGGGCTGAGGGGTGCTCTCCAGGGGTGGGTCCACCTATGGGGAGGGCGTGAGCACAGGCCAGGGCGTGGACCCAGGGGCAGAGCGGGCTGTTGGCACTGCCTGGGTAAATAACGTGGGCCCACAGCACACACCAGTGTTTGCACAGAAGGACTTGAAATGATTCCAGGCCTGCCCTCTGTCCCCCGCAACCCCAGCCCTCCCTCGGTCCCTGCCCACCCCACCCCACCCTGACCTTTCCTTCCTTGTCACTTAAAGGAGCCCTTGAAAAGGAGAGTTGGAGTCAAAGGGAACACCCTTCTCTCTTGCTGGCATTCTCTCCATCACAGGAAACTGCAGGGCTGCTGTGTAAGGTTGGGAAGGTTGGGCACTGCACAAGGTGGGTGGGCAGAGAGAGCTAAAATTCTACTTGGGCTTCACTCACCATTCTGCTATCCAGAGAGGAAGGGACATCATTTTCTGAGTTGCACGAAGGTGTCAAATGGGCTAACTGTGGCCCTAGAAAAGCCAGATGTATCTTCCAAACTCGGTTCTTTCCCTTGTCCTGTCTGCAGGGGCGAATGCCAGCTGCACACTGAGGCTGAGCAGGTCAGTCCAGTGGGGTGACTGGAGATGGACCAGGATCATCCTTCCCCTCCTCGTTGTCCCAGTGTGGCACAATAAATTCCACCATTAGAGAGGCTACCAGTCCTACTGGCCAGATGCCTTTAAACCAACAATTCTCAAATTTGAACATGCATCAGAATCACCAAAAATGCCTGTGAGAACACATTGCTGGGCCTTCTCTCAGCACTTCTGGTTCCGGAGCTCTGAGGTGGGCCTGAGAATTCGAATTTCTAACATGTTCCCATCTGGAGCTGATCCTGCTGGTCTGGGCACGACAGTTTGAGAACCACTGATTTAAAATACAAATGCCCCATAGGGCTGGCCGGTTGCTCAGTTGGTTAGAGCGTAGTGCTGATAGCACCAAGGTCTGAGGTTCGATCTCTGTTCTGGCCAGCTGCCAAAAATAAACACACAAACAATATAAAATACAAATACCCCTGAGAAGACACAGGTGAACTTGTCCTTAACAGGTTTATCTGCTCCTTTCCTCCTTTCTGAATGGTTTCCTGTATTATCTATTGGTAATCTACCTCTGTATTGATTTATTCTTGAGTCTTGGGGCCCACAAATCACTGAATATCCCAGAAACCTCAGTGTTTTGGTATACGTGGTATACATCTCTCAAGTCCCTGCCTCACCCAAACTGCACACTCCAACCAGGGGTTCAGAGAGGAAGGCCTGGGCAAAGCAGAGCCCCCGTTTGCCTATGGTGAGGCCACCTGGTGCCTGCTGGAGGCCTCAGGCAGCAGTGAAGGGTGGCTGTCTGAGTGCTGAGGGTCTTAGTGTTCCCTGCAGCCCCCAGGAAGGCCAGCATGTGGGCATCACCTCCAGGCAGCTGCACATTCTCCCAGAGCTTAAGGGGAGAATAGAGGGCCTTGGGAGCTGGGAAGGGCCCCAGGCATCACCTTTCAAGAGAGGATGAGGTGGGCTGGGGACCAGGAGCCCAGCCCCAGGGGTCTGGAGCGGGGAGAGGGCAAGCACACCTGTGAGTGGTGACTCAGTGGCACCTCGAGTGTTACACTCTGTGCCTTTATTCACATCCCCCAAATGGCCCCGTGGGAGGGGAAGAGCTGGCCAACTCTGACTTGTGAGGGGGGTTCTACCCTGCCAACCCCCCCATCCCTGTTTCTCTCTTCTTTCGTTAGTTGGTGAAGACGATGGCTGCCTTTGGGTGGTGGCCTTCTTCCTCCACCTCCACCTCTACTCCTGTCAAGGGCAGAGTAAAAGAAAAGCTTAGCTACAGCAGGAAAGATTTAGGTTAGGTTAGCAGGAAAGATTTGGACATTGAGGACTCCTTGTCCAGGTCTCAATTTGCTCATCTGCCAAATGGGGCTAATCATGCCATCCATTGTGAGGACTGAGGTGGAGAACCTCAGAAGGCTGTTTGAGGCACATTGCATGCGTAAAGATTTGTTGCTTGAGCGAGGGAGCTGTCCATTTATGGTCCTGGCCCCACTCCCACCTTGCTGTCTTTCCCAGCCAGAAAGCCCGTCTGCCCAGCCCTGTCCCAGCTGTCCAATGACCCGGAAGCCCCCAACTCTTAGGCCCAGCCCACTGCCCACTGGGCCTCTCATCCCTGTAACCAGCTTAGCGGCCCCTGTGGGGATGGGGAGGCAGTCAGACTGGACTCTCTTTCCTCTTTTATTTCTGTAGACGCTGCGGCCAGCCCGAGCAGCAGCGGCATGGGCAGCGCTAGCCCAGGCCTGAGCAGCGTGCCCCCCAGCCGCCTCCTGCTGCCTCCCGACACTGTGTTGCGGACAGGCCTGGAGAAGGTGGCAGCAGGGACGGTGTGTCCTGACAGACGGGACTGGAGCCCCAGCCCACCTGCCACACCCGAGCAGGGCCTGTCTGCCTTTTACCTCTCCTACTTTGACATGCTGTACCCTGAGGACAGTAGCTGGACAGCCAAGGGCCCTGGGGCCAGCACTCGGGAGGAGCCGCCTGAGGAGCCTGAGCAGTGCCCAGTCATCGACAGCCAAGCTCCAGGGGGCAGCCTGGAGCTGGTGCCAGGTGGGCTGAGCCTGGAGGAGCACTCACTGGAGCAGGTGCAGTCCATGGTGGTGGGTGAAGTGCTCAAGGACATCGAGACAGCCTGCAAGTTGCTCAACATCACTGCAGGTGAGCCTCTCTCCCTGTGCCCACCTCCAGAAGGGGGAACACAGGTGGAGGGAGAGTGCTGGGGTGGGTTGGGCGTTGCTGGATAGACTCTGGCCACATCTGCCCCAGCCATGAGCAACCCCAGGGATGTTGGCACCTCTACACATACATATGGTCAGCCCATAACACACAGCAGCTGTGAGCCTCAGCTGGGAAGGTCCAATCCGCCTCTGCCCCAAGCGCGGCAGCCTCTTGGTAGGTGCTGGATAAAGTGAATCCAAGCTCTACACCATCTGGCCCAACACCTCCTCTTAGACTCATCTCTGTTGTCGAATTGTTCCATCTGCTCCAGCCACACTGGCCTTTTTGCTGTTCCCTAAACACTCATCTCAGGACCTTTGCACTTGCTGGTGCCTCAGCCTAAAATGCTCTTCCCCCAAATATCTGCTTCGTTTGTCCTTCACCTCCCTCAGATCTTGACTCAGATGGCACCATCTCCCCGGGGCCTTCCTGACCCCTCTATTGAAACTGCTGCCCATACCCCAGCCTCCTATGCCTGGTACCTGCTTTATTCCTCTCTTAGCGCTCACTCCCATCCTACAGGCTGCGTACTTGATCACCTTGTCTTGTCCCCGACTAGAAGGTACACTCCACAAGGGCAGGGATTTTCATTTGTTTTGCCCATCATCACATCCCCAGTTCCTAGGATAGCACCTTGAACATAATAGATGCTCAGTAAACAGTTGTTGAACGAGTTCAATGACAAGCACTTCTCAAACTGCCAGGCCCTGTTCTATGGCTGAGGAATTGAGGGCTGAACACAAAACAAAAGTCCCATGTTCATGAGGCTGACGTTACAGTGAGGGAAACAGATCATAAATGGATAGATAAATGTGTCACTGGTCTGGTGGTGGTGAGGACTCTGAGGAGGAGGGGACATTAGGGGGCTGAGCATATGTGTGTCTGGAAGGTGTGGTTATGGAGCTGATGCTGCGGGTTGAGGGGCTGCTGGGTCCCCAGTCCCCTATCCCTCTGCCTGTCCCTCTGTCATCACTCCAGCTTTGGGCAGGTCTGACTCATCTCCCTCAGTCTTTGGGCCCTGGCATGTGAGCATCCCACACTCTGTGCAGCTTTCATATGGGAAGGAGGGTCTTCACACATCCTTCAGGCCCAGCCCCTGTCCTCCAACAGCCCCAGTTGGTATCCCCATGTGAAGCAGCTCCTGCTGATGCCCCAGTCCTCCAGTTTCCCAATGCCCATGCCAGCTCCACCCCAGGATGTTCTCCCACAGTGCCTCTTCCCCCATACCGGCTGGGAGGAGTGTGCTCTCTGAACAATGGGGACAGAAACAAATTGCTTTGACCTCGGGGAGGAAAATAGGTTTATTAAGTGGGGGCAGCCCAGCCTGCAGGTCACCCAGCTGGGGCATTGGCTTAGACCAGGGTGTTCACTTGGAAGCCCCACTGTGACTATGCCCAACAGCCTGGCCCCCACCTGTGTGCCCTGCTGGGCTCACCCCAGAGCAGCTCCCCAGGGGGCATCTAGGACCTAGACAGTGACTCTGCTCCTGGCCTCTGAGGCCTGTAGCAGCCACTAACTTCCTGTGCCCTGCCATTCACTTATTCAGCAGTGTGATTTGAGTGGCTATTATGCACCCAGCCATTTGTTAGGTGTTGGACAAAGGGATGGAACTTTCTGTGCCTCAGTTTCCTCATATGTAAAATACAGGGGCAGTGGGGGGAGAGGGTTGAGGTTGTAAGACTAATTTCTGGTTAGGTTTTTCTCTGGTTCCTTGAGGGGTTTGGGGAAGGCAAAGGGTATCTGGGAAAAAGTTCAGGTGATTCTGCCTTAAGGTTACTGTTCCCTACAGGGCTAGGGCACCCCGAAAGGTCCTTTGGAGGGGCTGGAGAACCTGAGGCCTTGGTGAGGTGGGGGGTGCAGAGGCCCCAGCCTACCCTGCCCTGAGCCAAGTTTGTTTAAGGGCCCTGCCCTTACAGGACTCCTTCCCACCCACCCCCTTCTTGGATACCTGCCTTCTCAGGGTCCATCGAGGCCCCAAGGAGTGCATGGTCCTGGCCACAAGTTCCATGGGTGCCCCATCACAGCAGGGAGGGCCACATTTGGGGTGGTGTCCTCAAGCAGCCCCAGAACTGAGGGGTGTCTCTTGCCCAGACCCTGTGGACTGGAGCCCTGGCAACGTGCAGAAGTGGCTCCTGTGGACAGAGCACCAGTACCGGCTGCCCCCTGTGGGCAAAGCCTTCCAGGAGCTGGGGGGCAAGGAGCTGTGCGCCATGTCGGAGGAGCAGTTCCGCCAGCGCTCTCCCCTGGGCGGGGACGTGCTGCACGCCCACCTGGACATCTGGAAGTCAGGTGGGACAGGGCATGGGTGGGAGTGCCCCTCCTGCGATCCAGGGGGGATGGTTAGGCCAGGATGTCGACCGGGAGCTTGCCCTTCACTGGGGTAGCAGCCCTGTGGTCCCCACCGGGACTCTGTCCTGAATCTCAGCCCCAACTGCAGCTGCCTCCCTGGATCCTCACCAAGCCCAACCCACTCCCAGCCCTGGTCAATGCCACAGAACTGTAGGACAGAGCACATGAGAAGTTAAAAGGTGGAAGTCAGACTGTGAGGACATGGGATGTCAGAGCCGAGGGCAACCGTGGATACTGTGGAGTCCATTTTCCTTTTTCCTTTTGATTTGTTTTTACTAGAGAAGTAATGAGGTAATAAATGTGCTTGATTTTTTTAAAAGGCCATCATGAAAAACAGTGTAGCATGGACAGTAATTTTCCCTTCCACTCCTGAACCCCGGCTTCCAATCCCATCCCTAAAGGCAACCACTATTACCAGTTTCTTGGGTACCTTTCCAGGGAAAGTCTATGCATGTTCAAGCAAATATGTATGTAGTTCTAACTTTTTTTTTAAACATAAGCAGTGGCAGAATATCAGTGTTCTGCACTCAGCAGTGTCTCTTGGATATAATTCTCCATGAGGCTGCACGCAGCTGCCCTATTCTTTTTAAAGCCTGCATGTTTATTTTTTATTTTTTAAAAATAATTCTATAGTTATGAATATTCAATAAGATTAAATTAAGCTTTGGTTTATTTTATTATTATTATTATTTATTTATTTTATTTTACTTCTCAATATACATTGTAGTTGATTTTCATGCCCCTTTACCCATTCCTCTCCCCTGCTCCCTGCTCCCCCTCATCATATCTATTCACTTGACTTAAATAGTTCAAGGAATTTTTGTGGTTATTCTGTCTTCTTACCCCCACACCCTTGATTCGTTTTTGTGTTTATTTATTTATTTTTAGCTCCCACAAATAAGTGAGAACATGTGGTATTTCTCTTTCTGTTAAAGGCTGCATGTTTCAGTTGTCTCGATCTCATCAGGCACCCCAGTGTGTGTCCTGCACAGAGCCGGGTGCTTTGGAGGGTGCAGTGCTTGCTCTAGGAGTCAAGGCCCCTGCCCTTAGGGGCCTGGGATGAATAAGGAACACAGGACCAGTGCCCTGCCCCAGCCCAGGGCCCTTGCCAGCAGGTGCTTAGTGCCATGCTGAGAGGCAGGTGGTGATGTGGCAGAAGCTGGCTGCCTCTGCCCCCTGTGTTGGTGTGTGGGTGGGAGAGATGGGGAGGGGTCTAGGTGGGGAGCTGGAGGGGATGGTAGTGCTTGGTGAACTTGGCAGCTGGAGGGCCGCAAGCCTGTTTTTATTATGTCAGGCCCTAAGTGCAGTGCTGTACAGACTTCATCACCCTGAGTCCTTGCAAGACGTCCCAGGCCCCATTTCACTGGTGAGGAAAGGGAAGCACAGCCAGCACCGACATCTGATGTCCTTAATCTGAACAACAGGGGATGCATGCAGGGTCTCTAAGGCCCCTCCCAGCTCTGAAATCCAAAATTTTCTTCCAGGAAGCAGCTTCTTGTAAACAACTTGCCTTCCCAGATTGGCAAGAGGCAGGCAGCCATAGGGGAAACTCTCAGCCTCAGAGGGGCCTCTTTGGTCCCACAGTACCACCCAGTTGCCCTCCTTTCTCCACCCTTGGGCCTCTCTTTGGTCCCCAACCTGCTCTCCTTGCCCCACAGCTGCCTGGATGAAGGAGAGGACCTCATCTGGGGCCATTCACTTCCGTGGTGAGCCGGGACAGGGGCGGGAGGGGCCTGGGCTCCAGGGTGTGGCGTAAAGGCGTGGCTGCCACTGAAGCTCCCCACTTACCGCCTCCCATCCCCCTCCCTGCCCCCCAGCCTCGACCAGTGAGGAGAGCTGGACCGACAGCGAGGTGGACTCGTCCTGCTCCGGGCAGCCCATCCACCTGTGGCAGTTCCTCAAGGAGCTGTTGCTCAAGCCCCACAGCTACGGCCGCTTCATCCGGTGGCTCAACAAGGAGAAAGGTGAGCGGGTGCCCTGTGGGGGGTGCTGAGGTTGTGGGGCTCTTACCGACTGCTGGGCACAAGCCCGTCCCCCTCCGTGCCCTGAAGCCAGACACGCATTGGCTGGAATGCCCCAGGGTCTGTGTGCAACTTGTGTCCACATCTGTCTCCTGGCCAGACTCTGTCTTATTTAGGACCCTCAGCACCACACAGCGCCTGGAACATAGTAGGGGCTTAAAACGATTTGCTGAGAATGGAATACAGTCTTTGCCCTCAAAACATCACAGCTTCACTGGGGAGGCTAATGGTGTCCAACTAGAAATACGATGCAAGCCCCATATGCAATGCTAAGTTTTCTAGTAGCCACATTAAAAAAATTTAAATGGGGCATTGAATTTTAATAATACATTTATTTAATCTAATGTTATAAATTATAATTTCAACATGTAGTTGATATAAAAATTATTGAGATATTTTACTAAGTCTTAGAAATCTAGTGTGTATTTTACACATATCTCAATTTGGACTAACCACATTTGAAGTGCTCAGTAGCCACATGTGGCTGGTGTCTACCATACTGCACAGCACAGGGCTAGATGGTAGGTGTGTGTGTTTTGAAAAAGGCTCAAAGACAAGAAACCCGGGTTCTAGGCCCTATCCTGCCATAGAAGCTGTAGGTGCCTGGATCTTAGCATTCTTATCTATAAGATGGACTAGATTCATTCACCCAACAAACCTTCACTGAGCACCTACTCTGGTTCCAACTCACTCAATATTATAGTGTCTGAGGACTGGGTAAGGCTCAGCTGCACCCCATCCTTGAGGGACCCGCAGTCTTGTAAGAGAAATAGCAGTGAAATGAGCTGACGTGGAAAGAATTTCAGAGCTGTGATGGGGCCGTGGGGGCAGAGGAGATCAGCTGTGTCTGGGCCCAGGAGAACTTCATGGAGGAGATGACTCTAGGGCTCAGTGTGGAGGATGGACGTGGAGGGGTTAGATGGGGGTGGTGGAGGAGATGTTCCTGCGCAGGGTGCGGTGGCTTTGGATGTGTATTTGAGACTGAGAGTGAGCCAGTCTTCAAGGACAGTCCCACGATGGAGTTCTAGGGAAGGGAGATCAGAGAGGGCTGGGTGGTCTGGGAAGGCTCCCTGGAGGGGGCATGCCAGCCTGGGCCTTGGCAGGAGGGTTCAGAATGAGAACTGAGGCTATTAATATTGTAATAGCTTGTCCCAAGGTACACTTCCTCAGGCTGCACTCTAAACACTTTCTGTAACAACTCAACAACCCATGGTAGTCACTACAACTCCCTCTTACAGACAGAAAAAAGGAGCCTCAGGTTCTAAGGGAAGCAAATGGCAGAGCCAGGACTCAAGCCCAGTCAGCCCGGCTCCAAACTCGCTCTCTTTCCACCACCTCACATGAATGAATCCTGCCACAAAGGGCTGTGCAGGCTGCAATGTCAGCAAATGGCAAAGAGGTTCTTTCAGCCTTGGGAACTACAAGGGCACAGGCAGCGGGGGGCAGGAAGGGGGTAATCTTGCCAATGAGCCGTGGGCACAGCCGGGAGCTGTGCAGGGCTTCTGAGTAGGGTATGCAAACCCCATGACAGGAGCAGAGGCTGGCGAGGGCCAGGCCTGCAGGGCCCCAGAGAACCCACTAACGTACACAGGCTCACCCTGCACCAGCTTTGTGACTCCACAGTATTCTCTATCATTTACTGGGCTGTGGCACATGCTTTGCACATTTCTTTAACCCTCACCACAACCCTGGAAGTAGGTACCATGGTCCCCACAGCCTGACCCCTGCCCGGGCAGAGGGGGGCCCAGCACTGGCTCCTGTGGTTCTCCATGAGACTGACCTGTTGGTCTTGGTCTTTATCCTTCTTGCTGCTCTCCCCCCGCCCCCCGTTTGCACTGCTGCCTCTCTCTGGGCCCTCCTGCTCTCCAGGCATCTTCAAAATTGAGGACTCTGCCCAGGTGGCCCGGCTGTGGGGCATCCGCAAGAACCGTCCCGCCATGAACTACGACAAGCTGAGCCGCTCCATCCGCCAGTATTACAAGAAGGGCATCATCCGGAAGCCGGACATCTCCCAGCGCCTTGTCTACCAGTTCGTGCACCCCATTTGAGGGCTGCTGGCCAAGCCCAGGGCCTGAAGCCTGGCCTCGCCAGGCCTCCTTCCTGCCTGCGCCGGTCTTGGCCAGACTGTGAGCTGGAGAGAAAGGGCAGTCTGCTGGCATTCCAAGGTCAGGGAGGGGCCAGCCCACCGCTCCCAGGGATAGAAATGAGCTCTCTGGGGCCCTGGGGACCCAGGGCAGGGGTGCTTCCTCCTCGGACCTGACTGCTCACACACAAAGTCCACTGGAGTCTGGAGGGAGCCAGGGTTGTTCTCAGTGTTCACCGCTCCCCAGGGAAGAACTGCCCTCCACCCAGCCTCCGACCCCAGAATTCCCAGAGCAGAGCCTGCAGAATGACAGTGACTTGGCTAGGCCACTTGCAGTCCAGCTCTCTCTGCTGCATCCTCCTGCCACCACTCTGCACCATGCCTGGCGTGGTGTCAGTAGACGTCTGCACCCTGACTTGAGGAGCCACGGGTGCCCCCGGGAATGGATAATAAAGATACTAGAGAACTGACATGTCCCCAGTGTCTCTGCAGTGAGTGGTACAGCCTGGAGGTTGTCAATGCTCAGAAGTGGTTGTGGTCACAGGGGCCCGGGGTGGTCAAAGGAGACTTCCTGGGGGAGGTGGCATTGAGCTGAGCCAAAGGAAAGGGATAATTGATTGGCAGAAGCTCATGGGAGAGTGGCAGTAAGTCCTCAAGGCCAAGGGGGGCCTGGAATGGCCGGCCACCTCATCATCCCCACCCTGGTGTGGGCTGAAATGCAGGAGGCAGGCCTGGGGCTGAAGAAGGTCCACGTGCAGGACTGGAGAGAGGAGCCATTCTCCACGTCCATTTGCTCCATGTTAGAGCAGGGCTTTGTGCCTGGGATGGGCCGGGGGCTGACCCTCCCGCAAGGGGGCCCAGAGCCCTTATCTCTGCTTGGCCTGCTAGGGGAGCTGGACTTCACAATGGGGTGTGGGAGAGGGTGGGTGCTTTCGTCCCCTTCGTAGGACCCTGGCTTTGCAGTCAGAAGGATGGAAGAGAGGTTGGCTTATTTGCGGTTTCTCTCTCCTGGAGACCTCCACGTGCCATCTGTGGAGCTGTGAGCCCTGTGAGCAGGGTGGGAGAGCTGCCCGCGCATGATGGGGAGAGGGTGTGCATCAGTGTTTGTGCCTGTGCTGTGGGAGACCCAGACCCACCGCCCTCTCTCTGTGCAAAGCAACTCACACTTACATCCCTCCTACTTCTACATTTATTCACCCAATAATGGGTGCCTCCTGAGGGCCTACTACGTGATAGATGCTTTCACTGCTTTTTTGTCATTGACCTTCTCAACAAAACTATGAGGTAGGGGTTACTCCCCCACTTTGCAGATGATGAAACTGAGGCTCAGAGCAGTTGAGTGACTTGCTCACAGTCATGCAGCTGATTAATGTTGGAATCAGGAACTGAACCCTCACCAGTGTCTCCCCAAGAACAGGGCTCTCTCTGCCCCTCGTCATCTCCTGCTTCGTGACTGGTCAGCACCCTCGGTGCTCCAGAACCCTTAGCCTCTGAGGCCAGGTTTCCAGGACACAGGAGGGGAAGCCAGTGGCACCCAGACCACCACGGGTTAAACGTTGCCCTGTGCTAGGCTGCCCCCAGCAATTTTATTGTCTTCAGAAGAAAGTTTACTCCAGGCAGTGAGCAAACAGCACCTTGGCATCTGTCAGCTGGGACTGGACCAGGAGTGGGCCCTGCCCTGGGCCTGTGCCTCACTAGGCCCCTGCTGCTTCCTGCCCCAAGGAAGGGGGCAGACTGGGACCCCGGCCAGAAGCAGGCTCAGCTCTGCTGAACTGGTTTTATCTCCAGCCAGCCTGCCCTGCCCCCAACTGAGTCACTGGAGCCACTTACCTGTATGTCCCCAGCTGGGTCTGGTCCTAGAGAAGCCTCAGTTCTCGGATGAGGGCTGGGAAGGAGGATGGGTAGGGGGATTAGAGGCGAGGAGTGGGGAGCTAGAGCAGCTCCAAAAAGAGGAGCTATGGGGGGGGGTCAGGTAGGGCAGCTCCCTGCACACGTACTCTTGGCAGGCACACACCCATCCAGTGACACCTGTGAGCTGGCAGCAATCTGCAGGTTCCTCTTCCTCCTCTGCACACCTCCCTGTTGGAACCCCACCTGGCCTAGGTATTCCCTGACCTCTGTCCATGGGACCCCGCCTCCAGGGCTCCCCATAACTAAATGGAACAGCCTGTGCAAATAAGACAACACAACCTTTTGTCTTCATTTGAAGATTCCTGTTTGGCTAAAACTAGGACTTCAAATAGAGGTAGATTTGGGGGAGGAAGGGAGATGAGGTGGCAAATAGATTCAATCCCCATCTCAACCTTTTCTCCCTGCCCTGGGCACACGCTGAGGCTGGGGGAAGTTGTGGGATGAAGGGCTGAGTGTATTTACCTTGAGCAATGGGTCTGTGTCAGGCCTCTGCCAGGCCACCAGGGCCAGAGGGGCCTTAGAGAGACATTGAACCAGATGGGGGAAGCTGAGGCCCAGGGTGGGGGTGAGAACATAGTGAACTGAGGGTAGAACTGGGACTGGACCTGGGACTCCTGCCCTGCCCCAGGAGAGATGTGGCTAGGATTGGGGTGCAGCTGGGGTAGGGGAGCTAGAATGAGGGCTGGGCCTGGGCCTGTCAGAACAGGTGGGAGCCCAGAGCTCTGATCCTGCCCACTCCCCTTAGAAGTTCTCCTGGAGGATCCCTCCCATGTGTTCCACACAAAAATGCCTTCAGAGTCAGGCAGGATACAGGAAAGTGTGCCATGTCCCAATGTCACACCATGGGGAGCCTGGGACTGTGAACAACCAGGAATCACAGGCCTCAGCAGTCACTTTTAGAGTTCTGCTTTAAAAAATCAAAACCTATTTGGGAACCAAAATCACATTTGAAAATGAATTTGGGACCCTGAATGCCCCAGCTCTCCTGGTCAGTGCTTGTTACTACGTACCCAGAACCCAATAAGGCAGAGCCTCCACTATAACCCACCCCTGTACAGACCCTGGAAGGTGAAGGGACCAGCCCTCAGTCCCCAGCCTGTTGGTGGTCAGCCAGGACAGCACCCAGTCCTGCTCAGACACTGCCTCCTCAACAGACATCCCAACCACGAATAGCTCTCAGAGCGCTCGGAAACCCCTGAGACTGAAGACTCATGAGACTCAAGATGACAGCATCCAGCCAGGTTGACACAGTTCTGGATTTTATCCACAGTCATATGATCACAACTTGTATATATATATATTTGTATTTATATACCTTTAAATTACACAATCATATACAAAACAGGTGCATTGCTGAGACCACAGCACTTCTCGGAGTATCACAAGTGTCGGAACGAATGAAGTCAGGAAGCCTAGGGCGGCAGACGGCAGCGGTGGTGGTGGGTGGCCCGGGCTCCTCGCAGAACCAGGCCGCGGAATGGTGGTTAACTGGGGACGAAACACATTACTCACCGAGCCCCGCCAGGGTGGGCCCGTGCAGCATCGAGGGTGTGGGCAGGGGCTACAGGAGGCAACTGTGGGCATGGGAAGGGTGTGGCCCCCACTCTTGTTGAGTGCCCTGACACCAGCACTGACAGGTGGGGCTGGGCCCCCAGAGCTCAGGGAGACTTCCAGATGGGAAAGCCTCCTGCTCTGGGGTCCTGAGGAGCCTGGGGACCGAGAGAGAGTGGTCCCAAAGAGGGTCAAGGAGGAGTTTGCTCTGAAGGGATGGTATTTCTAGTCCCTGCCCTGGAGTGGGCAGCTAGAGCACTCAGGGGAACAGGCCTGGGGTCCAGCCAGGGCTGCAGCACCTCCCCAGGTGCTGGGAAGCCGCTGGCACAGAGAGGGGGAGCCCAGGCCCCAAGATGCAGATGTGCCAGCTTCCTGCTTTTCCAGGGTAAGCAGTGAGGAGCAGAGGCCCCCAAGCCCACCTCCTGCCTGAGAGAAAGGCTGGAGAGGCTTTTGTTCTGGAATTGGGGGGCTGCTGGCTTCCAAAATCTTGCTTCAGGCTCTGAGGGATCCAGGGCACATCTCAGGCTGTAGTAGAGACCCAGAGACCAGACAGTGATAAGGAAGGGGATGCTGGCAGTGGAGAGTGGGTAGTGGCGGGGAGGCCTGTCCCTGGGGTGCCATTGCCTCTGGCCCTGACAGAGGCCTGCCCCTGCTCGGACTCCTGTCAGAGTCTGTTAAGATCCTCCATACTCACATGAAGGTCAGAGACTTGAGGCCGGGATCTACTACCTCCTAACCGTAGGCTGTTGGGAGAAGCAACAGGGAGCAAAAGAGGACTGACGGGTGACAGAGGGGCTCGGGTAGCACACTCTCTTTACCTGGAGGCCCAGGAGGCCAGGTGATGCAGGAGGGAGGAGGGTGTCTGCAGTCCAGAGGCCTAGAAGTGTCATCGGCCGTAAGCAAGTCTCACCTGGTACTGCAGGACTTCTCAGGTCCTCGCCCAGAGGTCCCCAGAGACTTCTCTTCCAGTCACTCCCCAACCTCTTGGGGTCTTATCCAACCCTGGTCTGCTTCCCATTCCCCTCCCCGCCCCCACTCCAGTGGAAGAGGCTGGTACCTAGTACCCAACAACACCACTTTCACCAGCAGAGGGTGGCCTCCCCCCCCCCCCCCCCCCCCCCCCCCCCCCCCCCC